AACGAAACCCCCTTTGCTTTTCGTCCCAGAAACGATATCCAGCTTGCTTGTAAGCCACCTCGTGCCGAGCCCTGAAGAAATAGTAGATGCACAAAAATGTGTCAGAATGATGACTTTAATGTTGTTTCAAAATTGAAAACAAAGCATACAAGACTGCTAAATTGATCGCTGAAATTTCCCGTGTAGATAAAGTGGAGAATGAATGATTTCTGCACTTGCATAGATATTAGAAGTTTTATATCTTGTACATTTTCTTGCATTTTAAAAGACAAACTATTGACAAGGCCTATCTAACCTTATCTTCATGGTATACTACATAGTGCCTGTGAACAATCTTGCACAAAAGTTCAAATCACTGCTCTACTTCAAGGTCTACTTACTCTTTTCCTCCTAGAAAATCCTGAACTGAGGTCGTTTTTTTGTGTAGATTGTTTTTTGGTGGAAAACAACATTCTCATGACTGAATAATCTCCTCAACTTCAGGAGTCCTTGGATCTTACATCATATGTGGCTTCTCATTCTTTAGTATAACAGATAAGCACGATGGCTTTCTAGAGAGTGCAGCATCTTTTTATATACTCGGACATTGATGAGCGTATAGTACTGACATCTTCTTGAGGAATCCCCCATTTCATGGAATTCAACTTCCGGAACACAGTAAGACTTGGTGTGAAGAGTCTGAGAAACGTCAGACATTAGTGGGCGCCACAGAGCGGATATGGCTTATCTGTTTATGTCGTCAATGTCTATCGATGATGTGGCGTTCGTTCGTAATCGCGAACTCCTCCCATATCCTCACAAAATCCATTACTTCACAATTTCTTGCGTCTTAATTCCTTACTCTACATACTGCCATAGCGTTCAGCTTCTCATTCCCGAGTTAATTCCTTTGTTTTCCCATCTGCGTGTCCATCAAAGTGTAACATTATCGTGAAAAGATTTTGGCCGATCCTTTTGCTTCATGTCTACCACTATCTTTTCCAGTGCCCATAAATTTGATGCTTATTTTTATTGTTCCTACGTATTCCAAATTCGAGGTTCGCTTTGAGACAAGCTTCTTCGTTTTCTTTGATGATGGCACTGGTGGAGGTTTCTCTCAGCTTGTAGAAATTTTGAAAGTATTGTGCGAAGATCCCAAATGTGAAAAAACTTGAAATTACTCTCTCAAGAGCCATTGTGCCAATCAACTTCAAGTCCAATTTCCAATATATATAAGAATCGACTTGCATTCTGCAGCAGCCCCAATAATTCTTATTTTGCTCATGCTAGGGTGTCGAATGTGATTGCGGCCTAAACTGTACATATTTGATTTGAGTAGACACTTTACGAATAAATTATCATTTTTTCACAAAGTTGTGTGTGATTACGAAAGAACCATGAAAAGTGAGTAACCTGAATTAGACTTCTCGAAATAGAGCCAGAATATTTTTTTTCAAGGAAATGTACTATCCGTTTTGTTCTTGCTTAAACGAAAAAATTATTATTCTGTTCACGAAGCCAAAATGTAAGCATTTGGCAGTTAATTGATTTGGTTGAGTTTCGTTTCTTGGATAATTTAACTTGCCATGCTGTTTTGAATTTTGACCTTTAGAATTAGTCAAGAATCTTGATTTTGAAGGTTCGAACTATCGCTGTTTATGCAGAGCATGCCCACTATACTATTGCAGCTATAGTCATCAAGGCGACGCCATAAATCTTTGAATATGAGTAACATAAATGTAGCAAAATTACATACTTCAAATGACCTTTCCTTGGAGTGCAAAATCGTAAATCTCTTACTAATACACCGTCGTTTGGCAAGCAAAATGCTTGATTCTGGCTTTTCAACGAACACCCATACATAGAACATCACAAAGACCGAATTCGTCTCCTGACAGTAAAATTGACTGAAACAGTCAAGCACTTCCTTATGAGTGCTGTGTAGTGCTTCAAACTTGAAGGTTTACGCTAATTACGGTATTCTACTTTGAAAAACGATAATTATAGTGGACAATTTTCAAGTAGTTTGCATTGCTTAACAACTCTTCTTATGTAGTTATTCTCTCGCAATTTGGTGTAAGTACTGGCCTAAACGCTTGATATGCTTTTGATGCAAATTCTTACTTATCCAGCATCCTTTCTGTTCTCTTTTCTCTTCATTCGCTCGTCTAACATAAAATTCGTTGCAGAGTAATAATCTAAGTGAACTCAACATCTTGAGGAATCTTATGTGTCCATACAGATTACTTACCTTAGTGAAACAAAACGTGACAGTAGCGATTTTTCTGTACAATCTGGTCTGTAATAAGCCTTGGGCACTCTCAGACCCCATGCTGTTTGGTAAATAATTGAAATGGATCATATAGGCATAAAGTAAGTGCCACCGCTCGTTTCTTCAAATAGGGTCAGATTCTTCCAGGCAAAAACTTCAAGGAATTATTAGGTTGGCTAATAAATAAGTTCGGTTGCTTTTTCAGCTCTTACAAATGCTGTAGACGAATTTTTGTTTAATGTTTGGTATCTCTGAAAAGAGCACTTCACTGGGTATTGGAACATATATTCTGTTTGAGTAAAACTTATCTTCCAAGGAAAAAAATTTGCGAAGAAGTGAAAAATCGCAATTTTCCCATACTGCGCAAATATGAGGAAATTTGGTTTTCTTAGTGAAACATTTTCAAAATGGCAGACTACAGTTCTTTTTGTTGTTCACTGAATAGGGAAAACTCCTCTGTATCCGAACACCAAACTGCTGTTCTTTACATCCATTACAGCATGGAAACGAAGCTCAAGAAATCAAAGAATTGAGCTTTTGGAAATTTCGCCATGTTGAGGCATAACTGTCTTTACTGATGATAGAAAATACTGTTTATTCGCTATGTGATAGAGGAAGGAGGAAGCTTTGAGCTACTTTCCCACAAAGAATCATAGATTGAATATAGCAAAGAAATTTTTTTTGATGATTTGTATGCCAAAACGAACTTATTTTTTAGCCAACCTAATATTTTTCAAACGTTCCACCTATGACAATTTGTACTACCTTACTATTATCCTTAACTTTGACTACATTTATGATGATCTTCAAATAATACGGCGAAGTTCTAGTTTAGCACATCATCTTCGAACCTATTTTCACCATGGACTCAAAAACGCCAAAAAAATGAAGGCATTTTGTTAATGAATTTTGGCAAACAATGGAGGAAAAAATTTGATCTTTTATAACATTGCCAACATATTTACATATGAACGTTTAATTGAAAGCAAACACAAAGAAAACTGAAAAAAATGATTGAAAAGCTAATTCTACATGCGAAAAACCACTTGGCTGCCGATTTAGCTCGAAATTGGAGTTTGTACGCTGCATATTTATGCTTCAAAAAGACGTAACCTCTAATAATTCATATCCTTCATTAAGGTGGTATCCAAGCAACTATGGGCAAGTGGGCATCTTCTTAAACTTGAACAAGAGTCTTCGACTACACTATCTAAGAGGCTGATCACATGATCTTCTAATCGCAAAGGTTCTTTCTAAATTCAACAAATTTTTTCTAGCCCAAACCGTATTTTCCACCCCCTTCGACAGACGCTAATTACTTTTCGGAAAGACGTGAGCTAGTAGAATTGAAGTTATCTGCAACGAATGAATCACTACAAGCTGATAACATGACTAAAAGCAAAAAAAATGTTTAGAAGATTTTAGCTAGGTAACTATTCACTATTACTGTTACCATGAAAATTATTGTAATGGTTGTCATTATCAAAGATAAGACTAGGTTTTTGTTAAAATTCGTTTTGGCACATCTTGAATTCACTTCCTCTTGTTTCCTATTTCATGGTAGTTGAACAACATTGTTGAACATGAAAATTCTCAAACAACTTAGTCATAATGACGTCCGTTGCGCGTAAAACAATACTTTCCCATCGAAGCCTTGTTGTTTGCCTATTCTGCGCTGTATTTGACGAAACACAATTAATTATGAAAAGTGTTTGCCATTCTAGCTTGTTCCGGCTTAGAAGAGCTAGAGCTGCGCAGCTTTGACAGCGAAATAAATCGCCCACTCTAATCTGGTTATTTTCTACTTCCTGAATAACCCACAGTGTAGTTTAGTTTCTGAGCCAGGCTGAGTGACAGTACTGATCACTTTTCTGCTAATTTGTCACTTTCATAATTGATTGTGCCTACGGTAAAAGAAGGAAAGACAGGTGTTTCATTTCTGACAGCCTTGATCTTCGCTAGGAGAAATTGCAGATTTTTTTATTAATCATTGTGGGCTCTCTTTCCTTGCTATAAAGTCCCGAGAATGGCCAAACGAGTCATGGATTATGATCTCTTACTTTGTAATTCTCCTCGTCTACTTCTCGACTTCTTCTTTTTCCAAACGATCCTCCTGAAGGTATCTACGTTAGGATTGGATTGGTCTATAATATAATGTTGTATGTATATCATAATACCAATTGTCAAACAATCATTTTCGACTATGATGTAACCTTTTGCAAAGTTTCCAACGTAGTCCCACATTGCTGAATTATGAGAATGTCAAATAATAAAGAAACGATTATCAAGAAAAGGCTTCCTTTTTTGTTCGGTCTTCCCTATTGACTAGAAATAGCTTTTCGTATATGCGACTTGCTTAGTTTTCAGTGGTGATATTTCCGCAAAAAAAACGCAGTCTAAAATCGCCGGACTTTTGTACTTTTTAAAAGCTCTGAAACAAAATGGATGCGACGCCTATTTCTATGGTTGTAATGTCATCGAGAATTTCAAAAAGGAAGTGAAGCACTTACACGTTGATAGCAAATCAGCTCATTATCTATTGACTAAAGCCTTTTCTTCGTATATTTTGGACCAATTTGTTTATGAATAAAGTCGATTCCAGTCTAACTGCTCGTTGTTCTCATTTTAAAATTGCTACATAATCCTCGTGAATTTCTGCTATCTTTCAATTAGCTCCTTATCGTCTTTTGTTATCGTTTTCTTTTATGAAGCATAATTGAAGTAATTCTTTAGTAATTATTTTCATTTCAGGGTTTTAACCTGGTACCAACATGGCCTACACGACACACATCACCGTGCCGATCTACTCCGTCTACATCGTTTTGGCCGCGATGCTGTCAGCTGTAGTCATGGTAGCTGCTGTATTCTACAAGTAAGGAGTTTACGGTAGCAGCAATCAAAATAATTATTTGATTTTTTGTAGGTCTCGTAAACCAATCGATCTCGATCAGCTGGATTGTGAGCAGCAGGCAAAGCTTTTCAGGTAAGGTGTTTTGAAAGGATCAGCTCGAGATCCGCTGCGAAATCCTGTTGAGAGTCGCTTGTAATTTTTTTCAACGGTTCATGGGAATCTGAGAACTTTACCATACCATTACATTTGAATATGAAACGGACATATTAAATGTATGTTTAATACATCAGTACAAAGAACGGCTGCAATTTGACATCACCTCACATTTGAACCACATTCCAATCGCATATAACCCCTCTAATAAGCTAACTTTTCTGCGTAATTTTAGCTTTGGGCAGCATGTTTTGCCTCCAAGAGGAAACATCGCTCATTTGAAGGGGGAGGGAGGTAGTCATCCTAGATGGCAAAAATCTGAGAATTTCCAATCTTAGCCAATCCGTGTGTTGTACTCTAACAAGGAAGGGTCAAGAAGTGGAAGTGGCCGATCACTAGAACTGCATACCTTTAGTGAGAGCTTGGAACGCTGGCTTAAAATCTGCTTTCCGTATGTGCAGAGTGCCTTTTCGGAAGAAGTTATGAGCAGTTTTTAAGGTGAAAAAATGAACTAAAGGTCGGGATGAAGTCAATCATTACAGCCTATCCAGACCCTAAATGAAGCAGCAGTATGTGTCAGAATACTTTACGCAGTAAAAAACTTTTACCTAGTAAATCAGTACTTCCAACTTCTCCATATGAAGTTTAACACATTGACAACGAGCCATTAGGTTTGTCCCTGTGGAAGAGACGTTTCTGTGTATCCTCACGCCTGGCCGCATGTATGCATGCATGCATCCATGCACGAAACATAAAACGTGCAAGCCCTGCCCCCATGTGGCAAGCTCCGCCCACTCGGCTAAAGATGTCGAAAACTGTCTTCAAGATTCACGCGAATTCCGCCATTTTTGGAAATGGGCGGGGCTTGTCACTTAGGGGGCGGAGTTCGTGACGGTGGGCGGGTCCTGGCTAAAAGTTGCTTGAGGTCTTGTGTTCATCTATGGCCTCGTCCATGCTTATGAACAAAAAGGCCCTTGTGAGTGGCATAGGAGTGGGCGGAGTTGGAAAAAGGGGCGGGGCTAGTATATGAAGTAAAGCCTGTGGTGATTATACGAACAATAACTGAGATTATTGGACGAATAATATTGAAATCGAAGCCGCCGCGCACCATTGCGCGGCATTGTCGTCAATGTGTTAAAAAAGGCTGTAATGATTGATTTTATTTCGGCCATTAATTCATTTTTTCACCCCAACAAGTGATGATAATTTCTTTCCCAGAAGCGTTCTGCAGATATGAAAAGCAGATTTGAACTATCGTTCGAAGCTCTCACTAGCAGTATGCAACTTGATAGTGATCGACCGCTTCGATCGTAACCCTCCCTTGTGAGTAAACTAGGGAAATTGCTTAGAAAATAGTTCCTGGAAACGGTAAAAAGCACGTTACAAAAAAGGAAGTAATACACTGCAGAAAGTCTACTACTGTTTGCTCTTTATCAGAGCTCCTTCAAAAAGCTGAAGTAAAAGTCAAATTTGCCAAAGTTAGCAAAATCGGTAAGCCCGAAAACGTCTGCGACGCAAGAAACTCACTTCTAAATATAGCTGCTGGAAAAAGGGAGAAACTCTATTTCAAATAGTCTCTTTGTTCTACGGGATTGCGGACAGGCCCAAAAAGGCACATATTTTGTTTCGATCTGATAATGTCTACCCGAAAATAGACGGGAGAACACAGGGTGCTATTTAGCAAATTTCTGCATAAAAACCCAATGCTTTCCATATTGAGGTTGTTTGTATGCTTTATCAGAAGCTCAATCAGTAGAGATTATGAGAAATCCGAAAGTTTTGCGTTTTGATCCAGATTAAAGATGACAATTTCAGCCCGAGTATGTTGGCTCCGCAGCTGATTTTGGACACCAGCCCACGACCCGTACAACCTCTGACTCTCAAGCAGAAGCTAACACCGTGGAAGAGCGCGGTAAGAAGTTAGGCCTAACAAGGGAAGTCAGGTAACATAACCTTTGATTCAACTGGCTTGGCGCCTGAAAGGCGAGGCTTTGTGATCTAAAAGGCCGCTCGCGCCCGCAACGCAGTCTGCGTTTCTTTCGCGCACGTGTTCTGGTCACGAAGCCCCACCTTCCAGCCGCCAAACCAGTTGAATCAAAGGGTAGATTCGCGTTTTGAGATGAGACACATATATTTGGGATCAGTTTCGAACGCTGATTCCAAATATATGTGCCTCACCTCAAAACGCGAATCTAAGTTACCTGACTCTTCTTGTAAGTTACAAAATCCAGCTAATATTTTGAGTGGCATTTTTCGGTGTCCAATTTCCCGAGTGTAAACCAGGAACATGTACTGTGTACAGATTTTTTCCACTTCTTGTCTATGTTTCAGTCTCAGCACGTCATTGACTCCCTGAAACCCGAGAGCGTGTCTGAGTTCCGTGGAAAACTGAACTTTTCCATTGCATTTGAAAAAGAAATAAGCACACTTCATGTCCATCTTCTCGAAGCTGTTGACTTGCCTGTCAAAGACATCACAGGTGATTTTTTGAGCTTATGCTCGTCACTCGAAGACTAGGTAATGAATCAAAAAGAGGACGAATTAGAGATAAAAAGAGATAACTGGACAGCTTTCATTCGTCATTTTTGTAGGCAGCTCCGATCCATACGTGCGTGTCTTCTTGATGGAGGAACCATCCAAGAGTGAACGAACTAAAGTGCATCGCAGAAATCTCAATCCAAAGTTTAATCAGACGCTCTCCTTCCCAGGTTTGTCCTCTCATGATCACTAAAGAGCAAAACTATCAAAAAGTGCGGGTAAGTTTCAAATGACTGTGGGTACATATGGAAGAAACTACGTCGAAGTTGAAGAAAAGCAGCCAAAAAACAGTGGTTCTGTAGGAAGAGGATGAAATGAAGATGAAAATGAATGTGTGAACTCAGTGGATTTTGTTACTATACAGTATAGATAGGACGATAGAAGATGTTTGGTTTTCAAAAACATTGTAGATTGAGATCCATCCTGAATGTCGAGAAAAAGAGCAGGAGTTGTTATCTGGATCACTAGTCCATGATGAAATATGGGTTTATGAGTTTGTATTCCAGCTAAAGCTAGTGGATCTTGAGAAATACAGCGTATCCAAACTTGAATTAGATTTGATAATAAGTGAATCACACATGCAAACTAAATTGCTACAAAATGCCTCTTTAGTGTGAATTCCGGTGCAAACAAATATTGTCTATTTTTGCGACAGCCTTATAGCTTGGGTACTGCCTATCTATTTATGATTTAGATCGGGTAAGTGGCTCTGTTAGTGCTTTCGGATTATCACCTTTTCATCGGTAGTGCTCGAGAAAGTGCGAAAGTATGCCTGGTAAATGTTATATGAGGAAGATGGATAAACAACATAAATGATGAAAGCACGTGGTGAACTGTGATTGCACGTTATGAGTCCACCAAATGCTCGAAGTCAAAAATTTCATATCTCTCCTGTGTCCGCCTATATTGGGGAGATAGAAACATAGTCCCTTTGTGTTTTGCTCTTTACTTCACTTTATCGTTATTCTATTCAATTGCATTTTGATATTCATACAAAGGTGCGAATGTAATTGTGGCCTCTATGGACCTTCGCCCAATATTTTCTAGGGTATCACTATTTTTACTTCTTGTAAAATATAGCGCAATAGGTATTTGTTTTAACGGATGCGGTTTTTTTAAATTTTTTTCTCAACCCACAAACTAAACATCGGTCAGATCGCTGCTTAGACCCTTACGCCTCTCGGTTTTCTTTGCGAAAAAAGTAATACCTAAATGGTCAAATAATAAAAAAAAAATGCGCAGCAGAATGCAGTAACATACAAGTTTTACGCATCGTTCACCGAAATTCATACATACGGTTAGATAGTATCATTCAAATGCTCAAGCTCTGTTACGGTATTTACGTTGGATTACTGTATTTTCTGGCTACTGCTCAAGTCTGTTACTTTTCTTAGCAGTAGAAAGAGCTAACTATGTATGTGGTGGTTTTTATTCTGACAAAACGGATTACGCCCCCCGCAAAGATCCTGACTTCTTATGGAAGTGCGTACAAGATACGAAAGACAATTTTGTAGTAAACATTTCAATGCGCACTTACGTGCAGCGATTTTTGCTGTTCTTTTACCTGTCTATAATCCGTCTAAAATACGTACACCTATTTATGTTTTTTTACCCTTCTATAATCTATTTAGAACTTAGCCTGTTATAACTTTGGACTAAAGCACATTTCCGCTACCGGCAACTATCTCCTGAGAGGATTCGTTTTCTCATCATTTGTACTATGCTACAAAAAGAAGATTCCCGTCATTTTTGATGGTTTGTAGAAACCTTACAGAAAGATTTTTGTATAAATGTACGGCCTTACTGAGAAATTTGTAATTTAAAGAGTGCAAACGAACTTTGCTTAATTTTTCGATGACGAGTGTTCCGAAAAGTGGGTCCACCAAAACTCCACAACTTTTTCAAGAAATCATGCTCCAAAAAGCGAATTGAATATAGACGTAAAATGTAGAATCGCTACGCACACTACATAGATGATCAAACGTAACGATACTGCCTGCCCAAAAATTGCGCTGTCACTAATTTTCACGTTTTCACTAAGATTTTTAGTGAAAAATATTATTCTCGGTACTGATTTGCTATGCCCACAATACGTATCGCTGATTTACTCCTTAGTGTCTATCCGCCAGACCATAGATTGAAAAAAAGATTTTTGGTAAGCTAGCCAAATGGGATATAATCTTCTCTTATTACAGGAAAAATTGATATTGATGTTTGATAGAGAACTGAAACTATCGTTTCGCAGATTAGCATGATAAAGCTACTTGAAATTGTATATATTTGCTAATCAAAATGAACTTTGGTTGCAAAATATGTATATCCAGCGTTTGGCTTGACATCATTCTTTCGAGGCGAACAGACTTTGCTTACGGAAGTATAGCTTTTTTTGAAAAGATCTAGTTACGACGATTCTTACACCTTGCAAAAACGATTAGACTCTCTGAAAAAGCACAAATTTTCAAGAATGCTTGCGTCTTGAATTCATTTAATGTGGGCATTCAGATTCATGCTTTTCTCAAGCTGAATGCGCTTCCTTGACTTCCGTTGTTGTCTCTCGAGATGGCCAGCCATCGTAATCGTCGCGAAGATAAAGAGGTCCATACTCCCTCTTTAATCCCTTGTGGTAGGCCATATTTGCTATGGCTCAGCATCATTCTCTAACCAAAAACACGCCATTGCTGATTGTTTTGCATATTTTGAAAGATGAAGAGGGCACACTCAAGAGAACAGAAAGGCGCAAGTGTTATGTTCTGAGTCCTTCACTGCCCCTCTTTCTACAAGTGTTGTGCTTCAACTCAGCGTAGACTTTACTCATAGCCTTATATCCTCTAATGAGGGCCCTCTTGGCAATAACAAATGCTATAATTAGGGAATTTACAGCCTCTAGGCGACATGCTTCACTGCTTTGCGGGACGACATCTGTCATCTTATTTGGTCAGACTAATGCATTTTGCATTAATACAAACTTCTATTAGCTTGAATAAAACATATTTCAGGGCCAGATCTTTCTGATTCTTATATGACACTCACTCTCAATTGAGCTAAGATAACGATTTTAGTACAATATTTTGAGGATGCAGTTTTCCTTCAAAACACGCTAGTCTATCGAGAAACTACTCATTTACTGATTTTGCGAATTTTCACACTTTACTCTTTCCCTTTCTTCTAACTCTCTAATGTCTGAATAGCATGCATATAAGGTCCCTTTTGGTGTGAAAGCAGTGCGACAAAAAGCTTCGTAGACTGATCTTGGTACAATAACGTCCTTCTCAGAAGTACTGATGTTTTTTATTCACTCTATATCGGATAGCATGAAGTTAAGCTTTAATATGGCAATTTGAGTTGGGTGAATGGCAAGGCAAACAAGAATTGTAAGTAGGATCGAGCAACTAGGATCTATTAGTTCCTTACATTTAAAAAACGGGTTTGCTGAGATTCAACAAAAACGATCCATTTGAATTCACATTTGTCAGATCCCACTTACTGAAATGTGTCAGTTTGCTTGAGCTAAATTAGAGACAAATGTCAAACTTCTCTAAGGGTCAAGATAGCTTTCCATTGTTAGCCTCTGGATTTTTCTACTAAATTTGCTGTTCAGCGCTAAGCTTGTATTCTGCTTCCTCTATACAAAACGATTTGCTCACTTCGTTTTTAGTCCATTTGTGTTCAGTGAATTTCTTTGCAGTGAAAGTATTAGGTTGGTGCAAAAGAAGTGGCCGATTTTCCAAGCCTTTTTTCAGGGCAACTTTTCTCCCTCAATTCTTCTTCTTTACAATAGATGTAGTATACCCTCGCGATGCTGTTTTCATGCTCTATCTAATGGTGCTTAAAACGGGCTCTCATCATCATTTTTTGTAAAGTTACTAATTTTCAAATAACCGCATCCAAATTCAGAATTTCATTGCATTCACTGTTCTGGCCAGAATTCAAGCGAGTATCAATGGCACTTCTTCGAAAATTTAGCTCTTGTATGTAATATAAATTGTCTACATTATGTGTACTTAACTGCATTCTTTGAAGTTATCCAGACTGAGATATCGGCGCCCAAACATGAGTAGCTGTTGCGGTCATTTTATGACCCATAATTTTCTTCCGAGGAGGTCAGTCGCCGAAGCTTTGCTCAATTCTGTAAGCGTAGGGCTAGGACACTTTTTACAGTTCTTGCAAAAAAAAATCCAGCTGTTCAGTACGTAGAAAATCAGAAAATTCTTTATTCCGGACTTTGAGGTACAGTGAAAAAATGTTGAAAAAAGTGAGAAATTTTAAATTTCAATTTTTCTCTTTTTCGCAAACTTTTTTGTCCGAATTCTTTTTATTGCATTTTGTTCTACTGGCTTGTGGCTACAAGATAGGCCACTTATCATTTATACTAAAACACTTTGAAGGAAGTTATGAATTGTCAAAAACAAGGTTCTAGCAGAAGAACCTTCTTTGTCTTTTAGTCCGTATTTCTCTTCCCTTTTATGGTTTGAGTGTAAATAAGTATGCTCTGTATTGCGAAAGATTTGCTGCTTCTGAGGGTCTTTACGGCATTCAGAAATATGAATTCTTTAGAAAGTTATAGCACGTCAAATTGAGAATTCGCAAATCGGCCACCTTTTGCACCAACCTAATACAATTATGCGATTTGGATCAAAATATAAAAACTCTTTCTTAAAACCAAATGATGTTGTGGACAACTCTACACACACAGTTTATTTTTTTCATAGACCCAAAAATGGAGAAGTCAAGGCAAGCATGCAGCGTTCTGTTTCAGATGAAAACGGACTTTTTTAAAAGCACTCCAGAAGGATTGAATCGCTATAATTCATTCTATGAAAAAATTCGCATATGTTATTAGTGTATGATCACCAAGTTTATTTTTATTTTTTATTATTTTATTGCTTATTTTTTATGGAGATCTCCCTCTTAGCTATTGCAAAGAGAAATGACCATTTTGCTAGACCCTAATATAGTTATCACCTTGGAGACAAAAATCTTGTGCAGCGAGAAAAACTTCTTTTTTCTTTTTCTCATGCGTACATATGCCTCTTACAACTTCAGCTGACAAAAATTACAAATGATTTCAATCAGAACAAATTTAAGACATGCTATCAACAGTCTCTGGACTTGTAATTATAGTAGCAGTTGACCGAATAACATACTTACGCTTGATTTCATGCTTATTGAA